GGGATCCCTTCAAACCGCTAGCCTAAGCTGCCTTGTCTTTATCGCTATTTAATTTGGGTCAGGCAAATGCAGTTAAGAGCACATCCTTTCTTTTTCTTTTCAGCTAAGAGGTGTCCTGTGTTCCCCAAGCACCAAGCAGAGCCCTGCAGTTCAGAGAGCTCACGGTGCTAGAGAGGTTCGCTTGTCAGCAGGAGACACAGTTGTACATGAACAAATACTGGAAAGAGTAACGGCAGGCAGAGCTCAGACAGCTGCCCTTGCACCCTCTTTAATACCTGTACTACCAACCGGTGCCCGGGGAATTCACACACCAGACATCGAAATGCTGGGAAGAGCAGGGGAAGAGCACAGTGGGGAGCAGACTGCTTTCCAGGATTTGCCTGTTTGATCACTAGAGAGATGTCAGGGCTGGGCACTGAACATATGATAGCGCTTTCTATTTCCATCCTTTAGTATTGTAACAAGGGTTTAGAATAAAAACATCTCCCTTGATTTAACTTAAAACAGGTTAAAAGAAACAGAAAAAAAAATCAGCAAGAGCTGTTTCATTGCAAATGTGGAATCTGCACACAGGCAGGTGGGGAAAACTAGCAGGAATTAAAATCCACTGAGTTATTTCAGTACCAGCCTGTGCTTGGGCAAAGCCCCTCTCCAAACCCAGGGGCCAGCCTGGGCAGCCCATGCTATGGGAACCTATGCCACAACCAGCACTGACGTGAGCTGCTGGTAGCTGTTTCAGGGACTACCGTGGGCACCCAGGTCACAGATTATCAGGGGTAACATCACGGCTCATGCACCAGAACCAGCATGTCGTGCTAGCTCAGCTCCCCGTGAACAGAGTCTGAGGCTGCCTTTCCTCCTGCCCTGCCCTCTCTCTTCCCACCCCAAGTGCTGCTGCTCCAACTTAGGCACTGGGAAGGGGCTGGAGCTTGTAAAGAGCTACAGGCAGAGCCTGAGGGCTGGGGGGAGGGCCACTGGCCCATGACCTGAGAAAAGGTCCCCGTCACTGAGTTAAGTAGGTCTGCACTGCATCAGCGCTGTGCCTTGAAGAGCTCCAGCATGATGCTAGAAGAGGGAGCAATAGAGCTTGCTCTGACGGGGCTCATTTGCTCACTTCTCATAGCAAAACTATTCCAGCTGCTCTGGCGCACTTCTGTATTAACAGGGCTTTCCAGTTAATTGTCATTTGAACTAGAGCGTAAATGGTTAGAAAGATTTTTCTTGATTAAAATGTTGTCAGTGATGGGGAATTCAACAGAGCTCTGAGGAAACTGTTGCAGCGATAGCCTTGTTTTAAAGTCCATGGCTGGTTTCTAGTGGGAATTCTTTATACACTTTACATCAAATCCTCACTCCATTTTGCCTTTGTCAGCTAGAAGAGCCTAGTAACAAAGTTTAATTGCTGCAACAAGTTAGCTATAGCAGTCTCTTAATTTTCTGTTAAGCTAAATTATCGAGCCAGACCCAGGGAAAGACTCAGACACAACCAGCTGCTGCAGATGTTTAACTGCAAGCTCCGACACCAAAATCCAGGACCTGATGCTCCCTGTGGCACCGTTTAAACCTTCATGGGAGCTGCCCGAGTGGCCACCACGAACGACAAAGCACAGAGGTGTGAGCTCCTCTTTTCCGCAGAGATACGGTGCCCGACCCAGCCAGCCAAGGAAGCACAGCATCCGAACTTACTCCTGGTTGCTCCAAGGGTATAATCCTTAGGTATGCCCCAAGAGATATAATCTTTTCACATATAAATTATCCTGGAGCCAGTCTCCTCATACACAATAACCTCTGGCTGGGGTATTCACAGAGGAAGGTGGACTCCCAGTTTAAGTCCTTTCTTACCCTGATGGTACTCAAGGAAGTTCACCCTCTGAAGAGGATCCCTGCCCCTGCCTATGAACCAGGAAGAAAGACGGGAGAGGCGAAGGGCACCTGCTGAACCTGAAAGTGTCTTGTCGACACTTTCTCACTGTGTACCAAGAAAAGCAAACTTTGTTGGGCCAGAGGCAAGAGGGCGCACAGTCAAGAGGGGGTACTCACTTGGGAGGCAGGTCTCTGTTCTGCTGCCAGGACTTCTTATCTTTTTGGCATCACATGTAAATTGGGAAAAATTCAGCCATGGTTTTGAGAGCAAGACCAGACCTTAGGAGACCTCCTTCCTGTGAGTCTTCTGACCCATTAGGTTTAATTTCTTCTTCCTTAGCCTCCCTCTGGCCGGTTGCCCAGCTCCAGTGGGAAGCGTGCAGAGGGCTCCTCACCTGGATGAACCCCGTGTTGGTGATGGCCCTTCCCAAGGAATGCAAGAAAGACTCCAAACTCCCCAACAAATGGAGTTGGATCTGGGGCTCCCAACCCCGATTCAGACAGACTAGCCCACAGAAGAAAGCACGTACAGTGGCATTTCATGAGGGACCTGCTCTTGCTGACGTTAGATGTGTCTGGGACATGTTTCTCTAGAGGGGTCTTTGGGGACCTGAGACTCATCTACTCAACTTCTGGCTTCCATGGGTGCTTACACAGTGGCTCGACGCTAGGTGCTCAAGCCAGAGCAGGCAATACGCTTCAGCAGCACAGAGCTCAAGTCTCCGTGGCTGGTAAAGGGACTCACATAGTGATTTCCAGTGGCCTCCATGAAGGGGAGGAATCATAATTTTGGACTCAGAATCTGCCTAAATCTAGTCTAAAGGCTCAAAATCTGCTTTGGGTAACAAGCCTTTCACTGAGAAGCATGTTTTCCAGTCCTTTAACCATCTCACAACTTCACCTGGAACTCCCTCTGGTTCCTGACTGTCCTCCTTGAGCTGTAGACACCAAAACCAGACACACCATTGCAAACAAACAGCTGTCATATCACCATCAAACAGAGCTGACACAGAAACAGCCCTATTTCTGGCTCTTTGGCTGGACAATTCTACCAATGACAGGGAACACCCCTCCTCAGAGCTGCCAGTCGAGGACTTTCCAGTACTGAAAGTGGTACGCAAAGGAAAGAAACCTTCACCGGACACATACATGGAGAAAGATGCACTTACCCACTCGTTCCAGGTCTCTGGGTCTGAGAGAAGCGCCAGTCTGTGTTAGGCTGAGCTTGCTGCAGAGAAAATAGAAGAGTTTTAATACCTCCATTCTTGCCTTTGAAAATGAAAGCGAACTGATCCTGGATCATTTCAGTCTGGAATATCAGAATGTTCTTTCCAAGTAAAGCAAATCAATTAGAACAAAAAGAAAGCCCCCCCCCCCCCCCCCCCCCCCACTCCCCCACGTCGTTCTGAACCAGTATGAATACTAAAAAGCATGACAAAAACTATTCAGCGAATAATCTTCCAAAGCAGCTCAGGAAACCAGGCTGTGAAAGAAATGAAGCATGAAATAAACTGATAAGGGCATCAATTCAGCAGAAGCAATGGTACCAAAGTAATGAGCTTAGAGGAGTGTGGGGGTAGGGGTGGCAGAGTTAATTGATACTGGGAAAGATGCTTTTAATGCCAGAAGGTAAAATGATAACAGACCTTCCTAATCTGTCCTTCTTCTGTCCTTAAAAAGGCCTGTCTGAGATCTTGATTTCACACATTGTATTTGAATGACTTTTCCTAGATGCTGTGGCCTCAGAGCATTACAATATTTTTCTGTCCGTGGAGAAAAGAATGAACTTCCGACAGCAAAAGAAAAAAGCATTTGTTTAGGAGACAATAAACTTCGGACACAGCAGCACACTTTGTAACTTCATTAGTAAGCCCCCGTATCGCTTTCTGCCCGTGTTATTTTACCACCAGACAATGGACATTTTGTAAATAAGGAAGGACACGAAGCAGGCTTGCATATTCCTGTCTGAATCACGCCTTTGTGAAGAGCACTAAATAGCAGAACTGTTTTCTGTCTGGAAGACGCATACTTCTGAAAATCGTAATCTTAATTAACTCCAGAATGATAACATGCTACCTGGAAAGGACAACATTTCTCTCGGTTACCTTAGGAATGAGCAGTTCATAGTCCATACAGTGAAACATCAATTTTATAGGATTATTCTGCTTGTACATGCAATTACTAAGGAAAAGTGAAGACGGGTACAGCTGACCTAGATTTTTATTTAGGAGATGTGATTTCACTAATTTCTCCACAGCTTTGATGATTCTCATGAAAGAATATATTAGAATAAATTACTCCCCTAAAATAGAGGCCCCACTGGTACCCATGCTGCATGCAAATTAAGCTGTGTAAATACTTGCCCTCCAGATTTCAGATACACATTTTTGCACACGCTGACACACAATCCTGCACTAGATAAGCCCTTCCCAATCTATATTTTGAATTGCTGTTGTAAATACCACTTCCAAATTTAGGGCAGGCATTTATGACACAAAATTACTTTACCTTTTATATCTCAAAGTTATAAAAGCTACAGCTAAATGCAATCACCTACATCCATATTTAGACATCTGAATACAAGTGGCTAAAGTTTTCAAAGCACGCCGCTGACTAGGTCTCTGCAAGCCCAAGGGCACCTAAGGTCACCAGGATCTTTGTGAAAAATATCACTACGTTCAGTGTTGAATAGTGAATTCAGTCCCTCGCTCAAAACGACCAAGCTGGAAAATGATCCCTTGCCGGAGCACAATCAGTAATTAATAACACTTGGGAGTTAAGAAATGAGAAATTTCTACAATGCACCTCTAAAACAGAGCAAAAGAAACACCAACAAACTTCGCTTTCAGATAACCTCCTCCCATGTCACGGTTCGTATGCCATGCAGAATAAAGGGGTTAAACAGAATCAAGAAGTTGAACACTCAAAAAACATGTTCCTGACCGTGCTAAGAATCACTTTAAAAAGAAAAGAGTACAAACGGGGCCAAGGGAAAACTCTCCACTTCTACAAACACACAGTCTTTGATTTTATAGTGCTGCCCAGCCCCTTCCCCCACCTCCATCAAGCCGAGCCAAAGCTTTCACCTGCCACCTCCCAGGAGGTGACGGTGACACACATTCCCTGAAGCCACCTTCTTAGGTGGAAGGACAGACAGAGAACAGCCAACTGGCCTGGATATTACAGACCGTTGCGCTTAGCAGACAGGACAGTAAGAAAAACCCATCTCTTACCCCATCACAGGGACTCGCTAAGGTGCTGGTCACCTGCTCATAGGCAGCCACGGTCTCCGCAGTGCTAGAATGGCTGAAAGGTTTTACAAAGAGGAAATCACTCTGGTCAGACATGGGCGAGAAACAAGAGGTGTAATTCTGTGCCTGGGAGGTCAAGCCCGCTCCTCCCACGTCCAGGTACTTGATGAAGCCATCTGGCTTCATCTGCCCACGGAAATGGGAGGCGGGCTTGCGGCCAGTCCCTCGGCAGCAACCCGCGAAGGTCCAGCTGGCAGCACCAGCTTTGAGACACCGGGCAGCCACCACAGCAAACATCACGCAGGACACAAGGGAAATGGACACCAAGGAGATGATGAGGTAAAGCGTTAGGTTGGTATCCTTGGGAGAAGATTTGGGGAGGTCCAAGGACTTGGCGAAGTCCTGCACACTGTTTTCCTCTGGAGAAATGACTATTACCACAGAGGCCGAGAGGGATGGTGTCCCATTGTCCCTCACTTCGACCACCAGCCTGTGGGGATCTTCTGACTCCCTGAGAGCCTGTGCAACCCTTATCTCTCCAGAGCGGCGTTCCACTTGGAAAGGCAAAGCCTCGGCGGTCTCCTGCAGCTGGTAGGACAGCCAGGCATTATGGCCACTATCAGCATCAACAGCTACAATTTTGGTGACCAGATAGCCAGGTTCTGCCAAGGCCGGGATGGTTTGGTGGAAGGCAGAGCCTGTGGGGACGGATGGGTAGACAATGATGGGGGCATTGTCATTCTCATCCAGGACGAACACATGGACCACAGCAGTACTACTCAGCGCTGGAGACCCAGCATCCTTCACCTCCACGGGCACCTGGAACACCTTATCCTGCTCGTAGTCCAGAGCTCTCACGGTGTAGATGGTGCCATTGTCCTGGTCTATTCGGAAGTAGGTTGAGATGGGTACATCCTGCATCCCATTGAGCAGGATGGAGTAAGACAGCTTGGCATTGCTACCCTCATCGGGATCAGATGCTGACACTGAAAAAACAGAAGTTCCAGGAAGGGAGTTTTCCTGAACATGAGCTGTATCAAAAGGGCTGGAGAAATTTGGCGCGTTATCATTCACGTCAGCAATTCGGAGGTAAAAGGTTTTTTGCGTGGCCCTCTGTGGGGACCCTAAATCCACAGCCCTCACTGTGATGTTGTATCCACTGGCCTTCTCCCGATCAAGGGGACCATTTGTGACCAGCGAGAAATGCTCTTTAAAAGATGACACCAGTTTAAATGGGAGCTCTTTCGCTATCTGCAGACGGACCTGCCCATTCTCACCAGAATCACTGTCCTTCACACCAATGAGGGCAATCACAGTGCCCGGGGTTGCATCCTCCTGCACTGGGCTGGAGAGAGAGGTCAGCACGATCTCTGGGCTGTTATCGTTGATATCGATTAATTCCACTCGCAGGTGACAGTGTCCTTCCATGGCGGGGGATCCCTTGTCCCTGGCTCGAACCGCAATCTCATAAGCACTGGATTCCTCATAATCCAACGGGCCTTTGGTTCTGATCTCCCCTGTCCGGGGATCTAAGGAGAACAGCTTGGTGAATTTACCAGGTGCGTTATTGCTAGTTTTGAAAGAATATTCCACATCCCCGTTAGGACCTTCATCCAGGTCGGTGACATTCAACTTGGTGACCAGAGTGCCCACTGGCACGTTCTCCTCCAGATGTACCTTGGATATGGGTGGGTCACAGACAGGAGGGTTGTCATTTGCATCCAGGACATGGATGGTAACCTTGGCAGTGCCGGATTTCACTGGATTCCCTCCATCCAGGGCTGTCAGTGTTAGGTGATGAACAGCCACTTTCTCTCTATCCAGTGCTTTTTCAAGTACGATCTCGGGCATTTTAACACCATCTCCTCTCACGTTGATACTCAGGGCAAAATGCTCACTGGGGCTGAGCTCGTAGGTGGAGATGGAGTTGGAGCCCATATCCGGGTCTTCTGCTACCTCCAAGGGTAGCCGAGTCCCAGGGTTGGCTACCTCAGTGATCTCCAAGACCACCTCCGGCTTGGGGAACTGGGGCGCGTTGTCGTTCACGTCGAGGACGTCCACCTCAACACGGTGGAGCTGGAGGGGATTCTCCATGACGAGTTGGAGGTGCAGGGAGCACGTGGGGCTCTGCCCACACAGTGCCTCCCGGTCCAGCCTGCTATTGAGGAGCAGCACACCCGCCGCCAGGTCCACCTGGAAGTGCCGCTGCCCACCCTCGCTCACCAGGCGCAGGCTGCGGGCGGCCAGGCTCCGCACCTCCACCCCCAGGTCCTTGGCCAGGTCGCCCACCGAGAAGCCCGGCTCTCGGTCCTCGGGCACGGAGTAGCGGAGCTGGGCGCTGCTGAGAGCCGGCAGGCAGGAGAGGGCTGCGAGCAGCAGCGGGAGCTGCCATGGCAAACTCCGTCCCCCGAGCATCCCGTGCCGGGTGTGCG